TGAATCGAGAAAGAATAAACTAGTTTTATTTAAGAAAGGAAAAATGAATAAACAAATACAGACGTGACAATGGAATTAAGGCCTTTACTGACTCTATAATAGAATCAAGGCTCTTGCAGACTTTGTAATATAACCTAGTCCCTTGCAGACTGTATGACAGAATCTAGATCCTTGCACCTCTCTAATAACATCTAAGCCCTTGCAGACTCTATAATATAATCAAGGCTCTTGCAGACTACATAATAGATTCAACTCTCTCGTAGACTCTACAATATAATCTAGGTCCTTTCAGATTCTATAACAGAATCTAGTCCTTTGCATACACTGTAATATAATCTAGGCTCTTTGATACTTAATGTTAGACTCTAGGTCTTTTTAGATTAAATCTCTACTGAGAGCTAGTAACAGTCTGTAAGAAGTATTTTCTAGATTCTCGTGGAAAAAGAAGAAGAAATGGATCTACTTTGTTTGGTTTTCTTAAATTATATTTTTTTATTGAAATTAGTAGCCGAAGAGTCTACTGTCATGACAACAAGTAGTCCATCAGATAGGATGGATAAAACTGGTTCCAGTAATCAGTCAATGGGACCATTTTAAACTGATATTATTGCCTTCCCTATTTATAATTTAAATTTTTTAGTATGATGGATCTTTTGTTTTGTTAGCTTTCTACCTGAATTGCTGCATTTTATGACTGTTGCTAGGCTACATCAGTTGTGATTATTTTATGTACAGATTTCAGTAGTTAGTTGTCGTAATATAAAGGTTATATTTATTTACATTTCACTAAATGTGTATCTATGTAAAGTTTGTGATGCTCTGAATTATAATAGCATTATTTTGTTGATATTTGTTTTCACGGCCATTTTGAATTGCCACTTTATTATCAGACATATTTTTTTTCTTTAAAGGCATTTTTTTTAACTGCTCGAATACAGATAGCCATGTTATGACAGTATGTAACATCATCCAAAATATGTCTCCAATATCATACCTAATTAGAAAAAAAAAATAAATCCGATGCTGCTTTATATTTTGTACAGTACAGTTTTTAATATTTGATATTGAATCACTAAAACAATTTGCACTAGTGGGGTTGACCGTCACATTATAACGCCCCCACGCCTGAAATGGGGAGCATGTTTGGTGTGACATATAACCAAGTAACACAGTGTACTTCTAACGCTTCAAACAAGAACATAGCCACACTCAAATAAAATTAAATGATACATGGCCGCCATATTGAAATTACCCATAATTCCATTTCTTTCTGATTTCCCACCCAGATTAAATTTTTTCAATATAATAGGATATTGATGTAAATATCAATGAAAATCTGCCAATTCAAATATTGTTACGCCCATGAGATATGTAAAAATGTCAAAGTTTTAATTTTCCTCATAATACTCACAAGCCTAGCCTCCACTCCCCCCCTTTCCCGACGAGAATGAGTGGAAGGTTACCAATAGACATTTTTCATCATATGGTTTTGTGTTTGTACAAGTGTGACGATTAGTTATAGAGTGTTTTTAGCTGGTCCCTCGAGATGAGTAGTAGGCTCGTCTCAGCTGATGAACTAAAGGAGGTTGGTATATCTTAGATACAGATATATCTTGTCTAATTTCTTTGTTTGCCTGTTTATTTCTTATTAAGCACAAAGCTACATAATGGGCTATCTATTATATATATAAAGAGAAGTGTCATCTGTGTGTGCCCAGTTTTCACGTCTATAGGTTTTGGCTGTTCTTAACCAGTCTTTGGAGTAATTTCAGTAAAAGTCCCAAATATATTCAAAATATTTTATCACTCAATGACTACTTTACATCTTTGCTTACACTAAAATATAGGTTAAAAACGTCAACTTTTAAAATTATCAAAGTAAAATAAAAGATTTAAGTATTAAAACCATAATGACAAATAAATGATAAATCCATCCTATATGGCATATAGAAGCCGGTGCCGAAATGTGGATAATAATGGTGGTAAATTTTGTCCATCACAGGATGCCAGGTTAATCCACAGCTCGGCATTAGTATCTATTATACAGCTGGGTAGACTGAAATACCTTACAACAATCAGCTTAGAATGTACGGTTCAAGCTCTACATAATCATATGTTTTCTATATAAAGTACGGCGAACATTAAATTTATGCAGAAAGTATCTGATCATGTAGAGTTTAAACCATTTATTTTCAATATTAAGTATAATGTAAATACATAGATACCTACAATGTATTATAATTGACTTGTTCAACATTTTATTTTAATAAAAGTTGATAACCCTCTTCTTTTAGTAAAGCTATGGGTCAGATAGAGTTTTCTACTTTCAAATGAAACTGTTATCTGTTTTAGCTAACGCAAATGTCAAAAGTTTTTCTAAACTTGACATTCTGCCTTGCATATTTTTTACACGTATTATGTTTGTTTCTGTCTTTATTTTATTGAAAATACGGCATTTATATATCAAAATATAGCTTTATTAAAATATAAATTATTGCGATAATTACGAGTACCATGAAAAATAGGCTTTGTTTCACCAATAAAGACAAATAATGAATTGTATTATGTGTTCATATAAATCAAGGTGCAGGTGAGAGAAGTTTTCAAAATTAAATGACAATCTACTTTTTCCATTGTATACTGTGTTTAGTCTCTTAGCCATGGTTATGCACTATTGTTTGACATCTCAGTTTCTGTACTTGAACATCCAACACCACTGAAGGTGCAACATTGGAAGAAAGGTATGTAAGCAAATGGGATTCAGTTTCTTCAGCCATCTTTCACATGAGAATAGCCCTTGATTCAGTTTCTTCAGCCATCTTTCACATGAGAATAGCCCTTGATTCAGTTTCTTCAGCCATCTTTTACATGAGAATAGCCCTTGATTCAGTTTCTTCAGCCATCTTTCACATGAGAATAACCCTTGATTCAGTTTCTTCAGCCATCTTTCACATGAGAATAGCCTTTGATTTCGATGTGTAGCCGGAAACTTGTGAACTTCAACTTCAAATTATTGTTTCTTATTTTGTTAATGGAACCAGAAAGTGTAATCAGAATAAAAATAATTAATTAATTAACAAATAGAACTTAGTTGATCGTATGAGACAACCATGGCAACGATTCATACCGATCGCCACACGTTATATTATAGTATCTTCTTATTACACTATCTATGCAGCTGTGTATATGGGATCTAAAATGTAAACTTCAAAAGATGAGTTTTCCTTATCACTACCAGTCGGTTAATTTTTATTAATTAAAAAAATATATGTGACAGACAGACAGACACGTAAAAATAAGTGATTTTTCACTTTTTTTTTCTTTTTGGGCTTAAATATTTCGTAGGAAATAGTATTTACAACCACTGATAGAAGCATGGACATAAATGGACTGAAATGAATTCATTCAAGTGATAATATAACCAAACGAAGTACAAACTGAAGATTACAACAATACACTAAAGGTCAGATACTGTTGAACGACCTCTTGGGATTAATGCATCCAAAAAGGAAAATCATAAGAAAATTTTCAAAAATATATTGTAATTATAATTACACGTTCATTGTTTTATTTTGTTTTCTGTTTTAATTGGAACTAGCTGGAGTACTCGTCCGTTGGACGAGTGAAATTAAAACTCGATTGTAACAAAGGATAGGAAATTGTGCTTTTTTTTTCTTAGCATCATAAACATTAAAAGTGCAATGAAAATACATAAAAGTAATTGTTGCAATGACTTTTCTGATCTGGAGGTTTTCGTTAGTAGTATATCAGATGAGGGCGTTGCTCTAATTGGCGTGAATTCAGAAATTGTGGCTTTCTTGAAGGCTACGTTGAATATAAAGTATAGAATTTCTGTGTTACTTTGATCACCTAAAGAGTGTAAACTACATTATGTAGATTTTGTGTTGCTTGTCTCACCTGATAATTACGTATTGTATTATCTAGGTTTTAGGTTTCTCTTCCTTTGCTCACATAACTGTTCTATTATGTAGAATTTTTGTTGTGCTCAATACCTGATAATCCTAACTTACATTATATAAAGTTTGTGTTTCTTTGTTCATCTGATAATTATAAGTTATATTATTTATACTATTTTATTTTGTATTATTTTGACCACCTGATTATGAAGTTCAGCCGATGTTTTATATAATATTTTTGGTTCTTTCTATCATATTTATCAGTTTTTCTTGAGCGAATTATTATTAAAAAATACAGATGTATGAATTAGTTTTACCTTTCCATCGTTGTTCCCGAAATACGTTACCGAAACGGTTTGTTTTGAATATCTACAAGTTAACTATCTATAATAACTAATCACAGCATGTTAACATTTTTTGAAACAAAGTTCAACCAAATAATTTAATAGAATCGATGTATATAACTGCACGTAATCTCCGAACCTCATGAGATGTTGTTGAGTTAACAGCTGAACTTATATACCTTGTATTCTGTTTTTATAAGTAAGAAAGGTATGATTAATTACCTATACTGATTGGTTGATTTTACAGCTCGTCACTCAGGAAGGATCTAAAGTGGATATTCGATTTCCTACCTTCAGCAGTCCAATTACCTCTCGCACCGTTTCTCCAGCTTGTAACTCGCTGAGACGAAGTCCGAATAATCACAAAGGTCTCTTTAATTGTCCTAAGACGCCAAACAGAAAGGTTAACACAAAATATGCTTCTCGCCAAGGTAAGCGAATTAGGATTTTTTTTTATTTGTTGTTGTATGTTTAAACTACTTGGGAATCTGTGACACAAACGACATATTTGTCTCAGTCGGAAGCGATTAAGTTAGCAACACAGAATAACGCCCCCCAGTGGCACAGCGGTATGTCTGCGGACTTACAACGCAAGAAACAGGGTTTCGATACCCATGGTGAGCAGAGCACAGATAGGCAATTGCGTAGCTTTGTGCTTAACGTCAAACAAACAAACACAGAATAACGACTGTAATCAATAATTGAAAAAATAAGTGCTATATCAAATATTACGCGGAGCCATTTTGTGTCAAACTTATTGTCATCAACGTTAATATTGCTAAGAATTTACTATTAACAAAATATGAAGAGTGTGTATTATGGTTTACTTTTCCGAATAAATTAAAATGTTTAATGAATGGTTTATATACGAAGTACAAATGTTGCTTCGTACGAAAGTAAAATATAGGGTCGAAGAGCTATTCATTACTCCTTTTAAACTTAAATACATAGTGAGCTAATTGATTATGAGAAACTGTGTGTTTGTAGCTAAGCACAAAGCTTTACAAAGGGCTATCCGTCCTCTCCCCACCAGGGGTATCGAAATCCGATTTCTAGCGGTATAAGTTCGCAGACATGCCGCTGTGCCACTGGGGGGCAATTAAGAGGAAAGTAGACAGCCAATTATGACTTAGCTTAAACTTATTAGGTTGGATCTTGCTGCCACGCCTCCATTGTCGTTTTCCACCAATCATGATTTAATTTATACGTATTTGGTTGGATTTTACTGCCACACCTCCTTTGTCGTTTTTCGCCACAACACCTAGTTACAAACAGGGGTCTACAGATACAATATTTACATACAAGGTTAGTATAAAGTTAATTGACTTGAAGGTGTACCAGTAGATAACTGTAGTATTTGTTAGATGAGATAACGAAAAGACGATATTAGTATCAAAATAATTCTCACCAGGAGGCGATATTATAAACATAACATACCCGTGAATGTAAAAGAAAAGTGTCAAACATTCGCAATGACTCCTGGTAGTTTACCTATGGACACTAGAACTGTTCTTGTAAAGCATTGTGATAATGTTGCTCTATATAAAGGTAGCATATAGCAATGACCTTTAAAGATGTTGAGATGATCATGTAAGTTGGAACATGTTATCATTCTTACAAGAGAAGCTTTGACAGAAACATTGTTGGGACATGCTTACAGACATTGAGTAATGAGCCCTTGTTGATTTTTGGCCAAAGACCAATTCAAGTTTTATCTTATTATAATGTGTGCGACAACCGATAATTAACCAATGGCAAATATTTAGAGAAGTATAGAAGATCACGAGAGTTGGTGAAAAGGAGTTTAGGAAATCGAAAAAAATATATATGAAAAATAAGGTTAGGTGAAAATGTAAAAATTAATAATAAGGATTTATTTAAATACATTAAACAAAATGTTATTATGGGGATGACACAGATAGGCTGATATCTGATGATTATAGGATGGCTAGGTTATCAAATTCTACTTTCTTCAATTTTACTAACGAAATATTCCTCATCCTGAAAAGTTGCTAAATGGAAACAAGATTAACCAAGATGATCACATTAATTCTGAGCTTGTAAAAAAAACAGGAAGTTTAAGAAATGAAAAAACTCCTGGGTTAGATAATATTTTCCCAAGGGTGTTCAAAAAGGTTAAGGATTACATATATAAGCCACTTGTTAATTATTTTTGTAAGTGTGCAGGTGCCAAATGATCGTTACTTAATGTTACTCCTCTTTTCAAGGGAGCTCATAAAAATTATCACAATAATTATAGGCATATTATATTAGTGAAACCATGCTGACCTTTGCTCTTTTTGATTTCCATCAATCACATAGATGAAGAAATGATGAAACAAAAGTTATATAAATTTACTGATAAAATTAAAGTTTTGGTTGTCGCTGGTTGTGAGGATGCTGCTGCTGCTTTTCAATATTAAAATTTACTGATAAAATTAAAGTTTTGGTTGTCGCTAGTTGTGAGGATGCTGCTGCTGCTCTTCAATATTAAAATTTACTGATAAAAATAAAGTTTTGATTGTCGCTGGTTGGGAGGATGCTTTGTCTGCTTTACAATATTTAAGTTTACTGATAACATTAATGTTTTGGTTGTCGCTGGTTGTGATGATGCTGCTGCTGCTTTACAATACTTAAGTTTACTGATAACATTAAAGTTTTGGTTGTTGCTGGTTGTGATGATGCTTCTGCTGCTTTACAATATTTAAGTTTACTGATAACATTAAAGTTTTGGTTGTTGCTGGTTGTGAGGATGCTTCTTCTGCTTTACAATATTAAAATTTACTGAAAAATTAAAGTTTTGGTTGTCGTTGGTTGTGAGGATGCTGCTGCTGCTTTACAATATTTAAGTTTACTGATAACATTAATGTTTTGGTTGTTGCTGGTTGTGAGGATGCTGCTGCTGCTTTACAAAATGGTTTTGATTATATGATGAGTTGGGCAAATCAATGTCAGATCACTTTTAATGATAATAAATACATAATGTAGTTGGGATATCACAATTTGATTTATTATGGAAGTAACCTTTAATAATTTTATTGAAAAAGATGATCTTGGTGTTCTGGTTGATCAGTCTCTTAAGCCATTCAAGCAATGATCTGTAACTATTGGCAGAATTTTAGCTTGTACCTACATAAATATTGAATACAAGCCTAAAGATGTTATAATTTCGTTGTAAAGATAACTGGTTAGGGTACATTCGGAGTATTTTGTTTCAGTCTTGGGCTACTTACCTTAAGAACTCTGAATTTATGGAAAGGGTGTAAAGGAGGGCTACTTCGGATGGAAGGGTTGTCTTATGAGGAGAGTTTGAAATCTCTCAAATTATTTTCCCTGGAAAGAAGAAGAATTAGGTGGGATCTGATTGAGGTATTTAAGATTCCAAAGGGAACTGGTAGTGTTGATTATCACCTTTTTTATATTTAACAGTGAGAATAGTAGAAGTAAGGAACATAAATGTGCATGTTGGTAGAATAGGGCTTATCTTCAGCTAAGACAGTTTTATTTTTCTAAGAGGGTGGCTGGCCTTTGAAATGGGCCGTCTTCAGATGTGGTGGGTCCAGTTAATTTAAAGGAGTTTATGGGAAGGCATCATAACTATATGAGAATGTTAAGTGGTGGTTTTAAGTGTTTTATTTTTAATTAGTGGGTGGAACGGCCTAGATGGACCAACAGGTCTTACCTACAGTGTAATAAACTTTTATTAATAATATAATTTACACAGACACTGTAATGATATTTAACCAATAATGTAATAAACTAACCCACCAATAATGTAATGTAACTCTAACCGTTAATGTAATAAACTAACTCACCAGTAATGTAATGCAACTCTAACCGTTAATGTAATAAACTAACCCACCAATAATGTAATGCATCTCTAACCGTTAATGTGATAAACTAACCCACCAATAATGTATTGCAACTCTAACCATTAATGTAATAAACTAACCCACCAATAATGTAATGCAACTCTAACCGTTAATGTAATAAACTAACCCACCAATAATGTAATGCAACTCTAACCGCTAATGTAATAAAACTGACCCATCGTTAATGTAATAAAACTGACCCATCGTTAATGTAATAAAACTGACCCATCGTTAATGTAATAAACTAATCCACCAATAATGTAATGCAACTCTAACCGTTAATGTGATAAACTAACCTACCAATAATGTAATGCAACTCTAGCCGTTAATGTGATAAACTAACCTACCAATAATGTAATGCAACTCTAGCCGTTAATGTAATAAACTAACCCACCAATAATGTAATGCAACTCTAACCGTTAATGTGATAAACTGACTCACAGATAATATAATAAACTGACCCACGAATAATGTAATGTGACTCTAACCATTAATGTGATAAACACACTCACTGATAATGTAATGCTACTCTAACCATTAATGTAATAAACAGACCCACCGATAATATAATAAATAGACCCACCGATATTGTAATAAAAAGACCCACTGACAATGTAATAAAAAGACCCACCGATAATATAATATAATAAATAGACCCACGATATTGTAATAAAAAGATCCACTGATAATGTAATAAAAAGACCCACTGATAATGTAATAAACAGACCCACCGCTAATATAATAAACAGACCCACCGATAATGTACTAAACAGACCCACTAATAATATACTAAACAGACCCACTGATAATGTAATAAACAGACCCACTGATAATCTAACATACAATATTCAAAAGTTGGTAATTATTACTACAACGCGAATATCATAAGATAATTTGTTTAACAAACCATATGTGTCTTAAAATTACTTATTAATTGTCTTTTAACTAAAACTAACCAACTGTTAAATAAATATAGAAAGCAGTGTTACTGTGTTTTTAACTGAAAACAAAGCAACAAATAAGTAAAATCATTCCTCCGTCCATAACATACTTGTCACAAACGCTTTTGTAACTAAAAACAAGTAGTGGCCCACATTTTTATGCCCCTACATTCTATGCCCCAACATTCTACATTTTTATGCCCCTACATTCTACATTTTTTATGACCCAACATTCTACATTTTTGATGCCCCAACATTTTACATTTTTTATGCCCCTACATTCTACATTTTATGCCCCAACATTCTACATTTTTAAGCCCCTACATTCTACATTTTTGATGCCCCAACATTCTACATTTTATGCCCCTACATTCTACATTTTTGATGCCCCAACATTCTACATTTTTGATGCCTCTACATTCTACAATTATAGTTGTAACAGTCTGTTGTCAGTTACTTCTTAAACAATTATTAACCAATTTTTTGTGAATCTAGCATTTTTGTGATAACCTTATCATTGAAGATGTAATTTTTCTGACTTCTCATTAATATTGAAGAAACGTAGTTTTTTAAAAATACACAGAGATCATGTATTACTATCGCACTCTTCTAACGCCTTTCTAAACATTTGGCAACATTATTAGTCAGAGTGTTTAGTTTTCTGTCATGTTCCTTCCAACATTTGCTCTCAGTTCATGCGTTATCTTGAATGTTTCTCTGACGCAGTTACAACACTTACAAGATGAGGTAATTCTATTTCATAGATATTGTTCCTAATTCCGGGAGCATTCTTTAATTCTAATAATTACAAGAATATGATGGTGTTTCTGGACGTCCAATATATAAATCACGTTTTAAGGTTGTTTGACATCTTTCTCACAAGATATATCTATAAATGTTGAATTACATTAATATATTTTACTTCTTTGTATCACAGATAAGAGAACTCATGGACCAATGATGACTGTGACGTAAATTGACCAGTCTCTTTCTTATAGTCTATAAATGTTACTGCACCTAACGCCACACTCTATGCAACTAGGATGTACATCGAAGTTATATGTTGCGTTTCTTCGATAATTTTGTGTTTGGTGATATTTAAAGAAAATGTATTATTCATAAACAACTAAATAAAAAAAAAGCATTCAGAAGTAATTAAAGAAGTTGTCGCTTCTTTATTTTTTACAATTGTATCTAAAATGAGGACAAAGTGTCGTCTATAGAGGTCGAGTACGTTATATTAAAACTCACTACGTCGTCACAATTCATTTCATCTCATCCGGTCATGCTTTATCTGACGACTGTGCATCTTGACAATAGTCCTCCCACATAGCTTCCCTTACATAAAATTCCGTAATACACAACTCTTCACTCTTACGCTCCATAATTTATCTAGTGTAGCTTTTACTTTTTTTTTGTTGAAGAAAAAAGCTACACAATGGTTGATCTGTGCTCTGCCCACTGCGGATATCTAAGTCCGAATTTTAGCGTTATAAGCCCTCAAGAGGGCACATAGCGTAGAAGAAACACGTTTTCTGTTATAACAGTTCGTTAATATGTCTTCGTATGTATTAAAATGAACACTGGTTTCATTCCATTGGTGTTTGAGGGGGCGACGCTGAACAAATTTATCGCGGGAGCAACGTGTGTACATATTTAAACTGTTGGTTACATGAACGTATACAGAGATTGAAAACCTTACATAAAACGATTTTGGAGACTCACCACGTTGTTACAATCCAAGTCACCACATCTGATCTTGGTGTATCTGGTGGCCGTGCATCTTCACAGTAGCGCTACGACGTATTTTCTATTGCAAAAGATACTGTGGTAAGGCTGGAATGATCAAAGCATTCCCCTCCTTTCTGTCTGTTTTCCATAATTCATCTAGTGAACAAAGACTACGGTTTTTCCACCACACACATTTAAATAGTTGATAACACTGAAAATCATAGGCCTGTGTCCAGCAGTTTAACCGTGGAATAGCGTAAATACCAAATTCACTTTAAAGCTGCAGGAGGTATGTGAAGGTTGAATGGATATGTCGTGGAAGCAGTCTGTGTATACGTGGTTTGTGTCGCTTTTCCAGTCGGAAACCATTCTTAATTATGTTGCAAAGCGTAAGCCATGTGGCCGCCATTGTCCACCGACCAGTTTTCGTGGACTCTCTCTAGCTATAAGATGACATACTTTGCTTAATGCGACTGTGGTACAAGTTGTTGCAGGTCTCCTTCTGAATGGTGCACCAATTTGAACCATATTCTTCTGTGTTCCAACACCATTTGAGTACAGAGATATGTTCGTACTGGAATTTCTATTAGAAAGGGCTGTTAAATACCATTTCTTAAAAGCGGTGGCGTCACACAACCGACAAAACGTCACACAATATCCAAATGTAGTTCACATACTTTCCGTTCTACCACGACTTTATATTGACTGGGCTTGTCACGTGACTTGCTTATTTGAATATTCAGCATAGTTCAAAATAACGTAGTCAACCCTCTTTAGAACCTACTTTACCCATATCACGATGAAGCGTAATAACACGACTATAAAACGTTTTGTACACCAATAAACAATGAAATTGTAATAACTTCGATTAACATGTATCCGGTGTAACCTGATGTGAGTGGTGTTGATTGGTTGTTTTAATTATTTCTCTAGTGATTAATTTTCAAACAGTAAAACATACATGTATCAAATGTCTGTTACTGTTAACAACAAACACGCAAGTATCAAATGTTTGTTGCTTTTAACAACAAACACACACAAGTATCAAATGTCTGTTGCTTTTAACAACAAACACACACAAGTATCAAATGTATGTTGCTTTCAACAACAAACACACACAAGTATCAAATGTTTATTTCTGTTAACAACAAACACACACATGTATCAAATGTCTATTTCTGTTAACAACAAACACACACAAGTATCAAATGTATGTTGCTTTTAACAACAAACACACACAAGTATCAAATGTCAGTTTCTGTTAACAACAAACAGTTACATACTTTGCGTAAAATCTTTTTATTTCCATGTAGTCATATTAATTAAAATGCTATCATAAGTACGGTAATACTTATAGTAAGAATGAGGCACAATACATGCAATACAAACTATTTACTCATATACACCTACAACAACTGAATAATAAATCTTTAAAAATGTTTGAGATACACCCTTACGTGATAAACAAACCACATACAAAATTACAAATCATAGAACCACTTAAGAAAGTAAACAGAGCAGATACAAAAAATCCATAAACCACAAATTTCACAGTCTCACTAACTGACATTGTTGAATGCGTCTTGGATATCAACACAAATGAATAAATTATTTATAAGATCATGTCACCTTGTATGAAAAAGTGCACGAACAAGTGGAAAATATATTTAAAAAAATTGAAAATCTAGGAATGGGTGCACCAAAAATTGAGGAAACAAAGTAGGAAAGGTCGTGGTGTAATAAAACCTCCTCTGTACAACCTTATAAGGGGGCGTGTCCAACATCTGCTTCATGCCTACTTAGTCTTTTTTATATTCATGATATTATACAAGTGATGGGTACATACAAAAGTGTGTCTATGATTCTTCTACTTTTGTATAGAAAGTAACGAATCCATAATGTCGATACACAGAAACCTCTTAGGATTTTGTATCTTTGTATTTTAATCCATCTGTATAGTTAATGTATGAAATCCTGTTGCATTCTCATGCAACTGAAAAGGAGGAAAAGTTGTAAAGAACAAAATGTACAATTTATGGGTCCAAACGAATATTTTGTTCTTCTGGTGTCGTATAATCAGACTCTATAGTACCTGTATTGCCTTCAATAAATCGATTCACAGAAACCACTAGTCATTGTGTAATAAGCATATGTAATTTGATAAGTTTAGTCCACCTGGCTTATTGTATACAGAATAGAAAAAATAAACGAAGTACGCGAAGTCAGGATGTTGGACACGCTCCCTTGTGAGTTTGTACAGAGGAAGTTTTATTACATCACAACCATTCATACCTTGTTTCCTCACTTTTTGATGCACCCATTCCTACACTTTCAATTTTTTAAACATTTTTTCCCACTTGTTTATTTAAGATATTGAACACTGTCTACTTGCAACACCTAATGATTCAAATCTAGTAAAGTTTATATTCCAGTACATCTTACGAAGATATTAGTAGACGAGTTTTTAGCGTGCTGGACTGAATATACAAGTGTCCTTGTTTTGCGTCCTATTGCCATAAAAATAAAAGCAACAACAATATCGCGATTTGCACTTTGCACTTTATACAAGTAATGATCAACAATCGATTAAATTAAGCCAAGAATTGGTGCTGGTGCCTTTCTTCTAGTCTATCAGTTCCAAACATTAGGGATTAAAGTAAGCCAAGAATTGGTGCTGGTGCCTTTCTTCTAGTCTATCAGTTCCAAACATTAGGGATTAAAGTAAGCCAAGAATTGGTGCTGGTGCCTTTCTTCTAGTCTACCAGTTCCAAACATTAGGGATTAAAGTAAGCCAAGAATCAGTGCTGGTGCCTTTCTTCTAGTCTATCAGTTCCAAACATTTGGGATTAAAGTAGGTCAAGAATTGGTGCTGGTGCCTTTCTTCTAATGTATCAGTTCCAAACATTAGGGATTAGAGTAGGTCAAGAATTGGTGCTGGTGCCTTTCTTCTAATATATCAGTTCCAGACATTAGGGATTAAAGTAGGCCAAAAATTGGTGCTAGTGCCTTTCTTCTAGTCTATCACTTCCAAACATTAGAGACGGTTAACGTAGATAGGCCTGAATAAACCAAAAACGAAGATACTACCAAAAATACCAATAGATATGTTTTAAAAGCAGAGTTTCTTAAGATAGCTGCATCTCCTGTCTTGATGAAGAAAACACGCTGAATCATGTTTTCCCAAAGTCAATTTTAAATTTGCTTTACTTTACACATTGTTAAATATTTGTAGATCACGATTTTGCCCGGCATGGCCAGGTGGTTAGGGAGCTCGACTCCCAATCCGAGGGTCGCGGGTTCGAATCCCTGTCACACCAAACATGCTCGCCCTTTCAGCCGTGGGGGCGTTATAATGTGACGGTCAATCCAACTATTCGTTGGTAAAAGAGTAGCCCAAGAGTTGGTGGTGGGTGGTGATGACTAGCTGCCTTCCCTCTAGTCTTACACTGCTAAATTAGGGACGGCTAGCGCAGATAACCCTCGTGTAGCTTTGCGCAAAATTCAAAAAACAAACAGATTACGATTTACGAGCGTTAGAAGTACTTATTGCTTTGTTATAGTGCTGACTTTTGGTACTTGGAGGAAATATTCTATTTTTAATTTATATAAAAATAATTTTTGATCTAGATATCTTTGGTTTATTATGTTGTATATATTCATTTAGATAATTAACCATTATGGTCTTGGAATAAACCCTTAAAAAGGTATCTGAGTTCTAATTATCCTTTCCAGTGGTTCTATAATGGGATTGTGCTTAATTTATTTACTTTAATTGTAGCGTCCTATAACTGGATTTAGTCGGTGAATAACAGTTTTAGATAAGAGACATTGTGTTCTCGCGTACCAATAGTTTTTGATGGTTTACACTGACTGGCTTATATTCAACCAACTAGACATTGCCACACCAGATAATGACGAAAAAAGTGCAGGTAGTTATAGTATTCCCAGCGATAGTGTGGTGAATGTACTCACTGTCACCAGGACAAAAATGCCAAACGACAAACGACAAAAAGAAAAAAGGTTTTCGCCACTACATCAGACATATTGAGATGGAATTTTATGTTTCTGTACGAGCAGTATCGTCAAGATAGAAAGCCTAAACTCTTCAAAAATTATATTAAATAACTCAGGGTATATTATTTACGTGTTACACGACAATCCAGAAAATAACTTACCACTAACCTAGCTGTAACTATAGGTGTGAATGTTACTTGCAAAACAGAAAGATATACGTGAACAAGAAATGATTTCAGTGGACGGGTTGCGGCTGGAATCCACTGAATATAAGAGATTGCCAGCAAAAAGGCTGAAATTAGCTTTATACTT